TCATAAATTTTAAATAAATTCATTCTTTATAATTTTATATTATATTTTAAAGTTTGAAACGAGCGCTGAATACTTATGAAATATTCCAACAAAGACTTGTCTGGCGGACAAATTCCATTAGTCGCCGATAACCTTATAATTAGTGGTTTGAGAAATATAATTATTCTTTACGTCGCAAAAGGCAAACTCATTTTGTAACTAGTATTTATGCCATCACAATGACAGTCTTTGTGATATGGCTGTCACTAAAATATAAGGTGACTCCAAAAAAAAAAGGCTTTTAAATTCATTTTACCAAAATAAAGACAATTTATTTAACACCCAAACGTTCCAGCAAGTTAGTGCACGCTTTGTGGGGGTTGGGTGGAGGGGGGGGGGGGGGTAATCACCCAGTAATGAAGTTTACTGGTATTCAAAAATTGTTAGGGGAATAGTTCACCAGTTATTTGTTTCAGATGTATGGAGGCTGCAAACTTTTTTACACTTACTAAGAAAAAAAGCTGAAGCAAATATGATTTTAACACAGTAAAACCTATAACAGCATTAAAATATTGTCATGCAAATTGCAAAAATTTGAGCAAATGTCACAGAAAATTGTTTTGAAGACAAGTCTTATTTCTCACAAGAGTTAGGCATTTAAAAGTCTGATAATTTCATCCAAAAAATGCACCAAAATTGAAAAATTTCAGGATGTGCACATATTATAGAAAATTTATAAGGACTGAAAATTGGTGCTCCAGAAGTATGTGCACCAAGATGTCGCACAACCTGAATCATAACCGGTACACACATACTATGTTCAGGCTGTGCGCCATTTTGGTGTGCATACTTCTGGAGGTCCGAAAATTGTATTTCTTGCTTGACATTAGTAAGACATTCTCACATGGCTGAGTATCACATAGGACAATTTTTCACATACATGGCTGAGTATCACATAGGACAATTTTTCACATACGATTATTGCAAGAATGGGTCTGGACAAGCATTCACTTATATGCACCAGGGGAGTAGCCAGTTTTTTTCAAAAAGGGGGGGGGGATTGGGTGATCTGAAATTTCTAATTGCCAAGTTAAAGCTAGAGCAGAGGTGGGCGAGGTTTTTGAACCAGGGGCCAAAAATTTTGCCCATCTAGACTGGCGGGCCAAGTAAGTGTGATGTAAAAAGTTACATTTTATCAACAATATTTACAGTGTTACAAAAGTAAATGTGGAAAACAATATGTTTCGTGCCCAAACTATATTTAACCGCAATCTTAAACAATTCCTTGAGCTATTTCAGCTAAAATGTCAAAAATTTTAGTTGGTTGTGGCAGCATAAGACGGGCCAGATTGAATTACCCAACGGGCTAGAGGGTCAGGCCGAAAAACGTGGTTGTCTTGAGGGTCCAATAAGCGTTTCAAGCCATGGAAATTGCTATGTATGATGTATCGTAGAGAAAAATGCTTTTTTTTACATTTCAAAAGGTTTCAGGGGCTTTGTAGAAAAAATCCAAATATTTAACGCATAAAATTTATTTCTTGGCACCATTAAGACAGTCTCACCCCTTTGGCAGAGTAGTTTTTTGGACACCTGCCATTAACTGTTAAAAAAGCGCTATAACACGTTGTAACCTGCAATAAAAATCTGCAGAGTGAAATGACAGAAGGGCGACATGAATATTTAATGTTAAAACCTGGCAATACCTTTTTCAAGTATGGGAACATTCGCAGGGCTCGAATTAAACCACAGTTTATGTTTACAAACAAAGTTAAATAAAATACAAGGTTGAAATAAACGATTAATTACTTGTGAACTTCAATATTGTAATATGGAAGGTAATGCATGTTTATGGGCTTTATATGGCATATTTGCTCTACAAAAGGCTCTGAACTCTGGTGTTTTGTTGAAATTGCTTACGTTAACATGAATTCCAAAAAAGATTTCCTATCAAAATTGAGCCTATTTAAAATTATTGTATTTTGCAAATTTACTTTATACTAAAATATTTAAAATAGCAAAAAAAATTTACAAATTAAATTATATAATAAATGTCATTCAAAAAGAAATATTTTGCATCTTGGTTAGGTAACGAATTTGAATACTAAATTGCAAGTTAGTTTTGACATTTAACTTGAGCCAACAGCTGTCGCAAGTCTGCATGTGTGATTTCGTGGCACGGAAGTTGAAAGACAAAGAAAGTTTATGTGTGACAGTTACGACAGTTTTAAAAATGGCTCATTTCCAATGATGATGAAGGCTTTGATGAAACCTCAAGGGATTCCAAGGACTATATTTGACCAAATGTAACTGACATAAATGTATCACATCATTGGTTACACTTTCGGTGTCAAATTTCTTCTAGGTTCATAGGATGATATTCTATCAAAAATGCATTTTAAATGGAAGGGCGTAGCCAGTTGCTGGGGGGTTAGGGTCGGAACCCCCCCCCCCTCTTTGAAATGTGAAAAAAGCAATTTTCTATCATACATAGCAATTTTCTGTAGCTTGAAACGGTTTTAGACACTCAAGACTGACCCACAAATTCCGGGCCTGCTAGTTGTTATTGACTAACTCAGGAATTAGCAATTACAAAATACCCCCCCCCCCCCCTGAAGTGAAAATTCCTGACTATGCCCCTGGTTGTCTGCAATTCCACTTTCGATAAACCATTTGCTTCTAGGTTAAAGAAAAAATCGAATAATATTCTATTTCAATGAAAAATTTAATAAATTGGGTCAGGCTGAACAGTGAGCATATAGAACTCGAATTACACTCAATGACTTTGCATTTAGGAATGCAGGAAAGTTAGCATAAATGTGATTTGATTGGTCAATTCTCTAAGGCTCCAGAACTTCAAATTAGGGCTTTTTAGTTATACTATGAGATTCCATTTGCTATATTTCACATAATTCCTAAAATCAAAAATTTAAAATATAAATAATTTCAAATCAATTTGATTTTTGCAAAATAAATGATTTATCGAGTAAGAACGGAAGTTATGCACTTCTAACATGACAGCGTGTTTGGAACAGGAAGTGTGTTTGCCAAATTGCAAGTTGTGTTAAGTTCATACATTGTTTCTGGAATTAGAACTGTTGAACTTGAAAGTATGTTTGAATTAAACTCCCTTGTGCGTCGTGTAAGGTCAAATGTCAAAGAAAGACTTTAAACAGGAAGTAACTTTCAGTAGTGATTGGCCATGATATTTGGAAAATCGATATTTTTTGAGATGCCTATTGATATATTTTTGGCATTTGCATAATTGTAGTTTAACCAAATTAAGATTGCAATTAGCATAATATCAGAGCAATATGAAACAACCAGGCTCGTTATGTGAACACAATTTCAAAACAATTTTACCAAGTCACCTTATCACTATTACATGCCAGTTTTGGTTGCAAGGTTGCGGTAACGCAACTATTTTGGAAAACTACTGTTTTTCTATATATTTGAGCAATACCAATTTATAGGAAAGAATTCATTGTCAAAAGGTTACTGTCAATATGTTTTAAAGTTTCCATAATAAAGCCAGTTATCCAATACAGTAACAACAATAACATGATAGAGTTTTGACTTAGTTATCATAATTTCCAAGCAACCATTACTGATAATTACAGTCACGTTCACCTGGTAATTACTACTTTCGAGTGTTTTTCTTGAAATCAAATTTTCGGAATTTTGGTTCAAAACAAAGATCAATTGTTATTTAATAATTAAATGTGCAACTTTGTACCAGGTGGAAATACCGATAGCAAGCAATATCGATAATTTAACATTGTTTTCAAAATTTTGCGAAGTCACAATCGCCATTATGTTGACAAAACCATAATTTACGTCAAAAGAATAATAATTCTAAAATAAAACCAACGTTAGCTACAACAGCACCAATTATATTCTCTCCATAACCCAAACATGCGACGTGAGGCAATGCATCAAAGCAACGCAGACAGTATATTAAATTATTCATGAAGGCTTTGGCAAATGCCTGCATCTCAATATTGAGTACCGGTGACGCATTGGACATTACGGGGAATTTTTTGAAATACTTTAGCAAGTGGATCAGGTCACATTGACAAATTGGTCGATGGGGAATTTTTCACTCACTGTTTTTTATATAAAATAATTATAGATTGTATTTTTTATTCATCTTAAGCGAAAAAATTCCAATTTTACTTGCAACTGAATCAATACCTAATCCGCAGTTTCATATCCTATACCAGGGATACTCAACTATTTTTGCTAAAGGTCCGTATACACAACTTGAAAATTTCGGGGGTCCGTTCTGGCCCAAAAATGTATTTCATACTGCGCCTAAATGTGTGTTAGTGACTCTATCTTTTCGGGTAAAAAGTTAATAAGGAACGCGAGTTGTGAAAAACTAAGTAATCTCACGATATTCTACATCCTTTTACACATCCAAAGTTATGGAGACAGTCCTCCAAAATAAAAAAAATTGGTCACGGCTGAATCGAATACTTGAAAGAGTTGGATTCGGACCGCGGTCCGCCAGTTGAGTAGCTCTGTCCTATACCACTTAAAAATATGGATATAGAATTAGGTTTAGGAACTGGTTCAAAATTTAAAAACACTAAACAAACAAGGTACTTGTGAAGCCCCGAGGAAGGGGTCGGCAACCTTTTGTCGCTCATGGGCCAAAATTAAGGGTTGCAAGTCATTGGCGGGCCTCACATATTTTCAGAAAGTTGAAAACCGAACGAATGATATTTTTTATAATAAAAATAAGCAGTGATACATCTCTCGAATAGAATGTAAATTTATTTCCTCATTGCATTGCATCTCATTTGAATATTTTCGGCGCCATTGAACCCTTTGCACTTAGCATCAACTTTTCAGCGTTTTGTTGCCATTATAATTAAATTATAGGCTCATCAACCGAGTAATTGTGAACTTTATACTTGTTGGACTCTAATATAATTTAGTCTACACGTGTCTCACAATAAATTCTGTTACGTAAAGAATATAATCGTCAAAACAGCTGTTTTGTTACTATAATCAGGAAGCATCTACTCCTGTTTGGAAAGGGGATAAAAATGTAAAAAGGTTTTTAGGAGACATATAATATCAAAATTTGTCGATATATTACCCTTTGAAATGGAGGGGGAAGGGGGTCACCCAAACTCCATTAAAAATATAAGTGAGAAGTCGTTGTAATGTCAAGCAAGTTATTTCATAAAATACGAACAACATGGCACTAGTGAATGGTAAATAATTCAAGAGTACAAAATGCAGTCACCAAAAGGTCACTAAGCATTAAGTCGATTGAAAACGACTAAAAAAATTTCAAACATGATATGGTGAAAATTAAATAACTGGCAACACTGCAGCTAAAATTTCATGAAACTTGCTAAAAAATTACAGTGCACTATCTAAATTAATTAGAGAGAATTGATTAGCTTAATTTACAATAATAGCTGCCTGCAGCAAGGGGGTCTTGGACCAAAAAAAAAAATAGATGCGCCACCATGTGGTAAACGAGTCATGGAACAAGAGGATTAAATCCGAGCATTACTAAATACGCTAACTTGGGGATGATTTGCCCATAAATAAAGAATAGCTCCCCATAGTGGAATATTAAGGCTTACGACCCCAATTCCGTCAATGCTTTATCGATAGAGAGTTCGAAGTTTTCATCGTGACTGGAGTTTGTGTCGCTATCGTAATTAGCGGCCTCTTGCAACCTCATTAGCATATTTAGCAGAGGATCGGAAGACGATTGTGATGCGTTTGATGATTGTGATGTCACACCTGATGATTGTGACATCATTATTGATCCGGAATAGTCACTTTCAGTCGGAGATGGACCAATATCTTCTGCTCGGATGTGGAGTAAGTTGGGAGCATTGTCTCGCCACGGCATTGTTTCCAAAACCCAATCCGTGGGGTCGGACCAGTGGATGGCGCTATTGCGTCTCGTAGTGGACCTCTTCACAGCAGTGATAACGTACGGAACGACACTGAAATTCCATAAATCAGTGAACCAAACTCTAGCTGACGATGCGTCCATGGGACAAGATGAAAACATTCTTGGTCCTATAGTGACGTCAGGTCCGCTGTGCAGTTCTAGAAAATCATTTATATGTTGCCAGCATTTTGGAAGCCAAGTTATCACCAAAGAAAGAACATCATCCGGTTTTTGGTTCTGAGTGATTTGATGTTCCAAATAAGAACGACGTAGCTTTCTCGCTAACAAAGTTTGCACAGGTGGAGAATTATTATTGCAGGTTATCCAGCAAAATTCTTGCAGCTCGGAAGCACTTTTACGGTTCGTTACGCAAATTAGGTAAAATCCTTGCAGAGGCACGGATTGGCAAAAAGGCTCCAGTAATTTTTTTGGTGATTTTATACTTTGTAAATTATCGAGAACAATTACGGTGGTTCCTTCCGAGTTACGCTTCATTGAACTTGCCATATTATCTAAAAAGTCCTGCAACTCTGAAATGGCTTTTTGTTTCGCGTCCATGTAAACTACAGGTTCGGACGAATCTGAAATATCAGCAATATGCCCTGCTAGTCTGTTAGCAAGTAAGGTCTTTCCAGAGCCAACGGGGCCACAAATGATCACCCTTTTTCTTTCAAAAATCAGGTTTACATATTTTTCGACGAGTGTTTTGTCGATTAGCAGCTCAAATGCAAGTAAATCGACACAATTTTGTTGAGCGTCTTGCAATTGAATGACAATTGTATCCGTCCCTCCAACGAGGTAACCACATGGAAGAAGCTCTGGGGCTGAAATTCCAACTTCACGAACTCCATCACCGATTGAATATTTCTCAATGCTGTTTTTCGTCAGTTTTATACAATTTGTGGGGTCGACTGTTTGACAATACGCCATAAATATTTTGATCAATTTTTGATCAAGCTGGTTCCAGTTGATCGCTCTCGAAATCGGACAAACGTTAATCGATATGCATTGTGCATTTTTAGAGTTCAATGGTGAGAAATTGGAAACCTGGACTACTATTTTTACTCTGATTTCGTCTGACGCTGATTTAACAATATTTTCGCTCGTAGAATTCAATTTTGAGTGTAAAAATGTCGAAGATGAAGTAAGAGAGTATGCAGAAAGCCCGAGTTGGTGTAATTGCTCGTTTTCTTTTCGTAAGGATTCCATCTCGTTTTTCATTTGCGACATTGTGTCTTGAAGATGTTGTAACTGGTGACGAGACGTCAACGCTTCTAGTCTTATATCCGTTAATTTGCGTTCTTTTTGTCGTAGTTCTTCTTTTAATTTACGAACAATTTCTGGGTCACAGTTTTCATCGTCAAAGCTTAGTAATGACATCACTTCCTGTCCTGATATACTTTTTTGCGGAGAAGATGACCGAGATGTTGCTGCGTCTCCATTTGCGAGATTCGCTTTTGATTTTGTACGTCCGAAAGCATTTTTGAATGAACTTTTCAACCATCCCTTTTTCTTTTTAGATTTAACGTCTTCATTACTTCCAGCGCTTGATACGCTTGTTTGAGAACTCATGCTAGATAATGATGCGCACGACGGCTTTTTCTTTAACGTTCCTCTAGTGCTTTCCCAGTCGCCAGATTTCAATGCAGAGCGATTTTTCAGCATTTCAATTGTATTTCTTAGTTCGTTCAATTCCGTGTCTTTCTCTTCCGCTGTCGTAGAAAGCTCCTGCAAACGGTTCGTTAAATGCGAGAGCGATTTTTCAAACTCATGGACCATGTGAGCCTGTTGAACTGCTTTATTTTGAGCTAAAGAAAATAGAAACGACCTTGCCATTGCGATAGACGTTTCGTCGTTAATAACTTGGTTTGATGCACCACCCAGTGACAAAGTACTTCCACGTCGTTTCATCAAATCATGAGTTGATGAGATGGTACGATAATTTCTGTCACTATAAGCCGCACGAGAAACATTCGGACTGGATGCAGCAACTGAGGAGGACTGTAGCCCAGAAAGAGGCCAGTCTGCCACCTTGTGGCTGCGGTCGTATGACCTATCCATAGCTTCATTGAAACTGTCAAATTCCGGGACCGTTAGGTTTGAAAAAGAACTTGCACTTTCACTACACGATACACTATTATCTATATAGGAACCGTATTGGTCATACAAACTATCCGGAGTTACCGGTAGGCTGTACGCAGAGTTAGCATTTGATCTTGGTTGTGACCATGTAGTGTTGCCAGCTTTTCTGGCAAATCTTCTAGGCAAGCTCTGTGTTGCTGATAACGATAATCCATAATTGCGTGAATTTTTACGTTCCAAACTATTATAAAAGTCAGTTTTATTGAAACTTGGGTCAGGTTTTTCCAAAGCACCATTCGTTAAGGGGTTCGTGGTGTAAGGATCAGCAGTTGATAAATTACTAGAGATCTGCGTGGAGGTTCCATCCGGTATTGCACTTAAGTTTGACTGCACTTTTGCTTTATTAGCTTTTGAACGAAGCAATATTTTTAATGCTGGGGACCTTACAAAACCTTCCTGAGTATTTTGTAGAGGTGTTCCATTATCTAAATCCCCAAAACGGCTTTTCTTTGTGCGTGGAAGGCTACGATATGATTTTAAATCCCTGGGTTTGTAAGGTTGTGGGCTTGATGAGGATGTAGGACTCTCACTTCGGTCCATGGTAGCGAGACGACTCCCAACTGCTGATGAACCTGAAATTATTCAGTAGAGAATGAAATTTGTGAAAGGCCAAATAAGGAAATCGATCTTTCAGTATCTGCATTTATCACACCCTAACATACATAGGTCCCAACCTTTTTTTTTGAGCAACCCAAATATTTTCAAAGTAAATTTTGTAAAATCTCGCGACCCGTGGACAATCTCAAATACTGAGTGACTTGTAGTGCTTTTATGGTCATAAACTTAATTACTAATATAGAACAGTAATTTTTAACATAACGTTTATTTCCCCGGAAATTATACCAAAGTGAGTTAGGTTTTTGGTGAAGAAACAAGCAACCCAAGGTTATCTGCAGACGACTCATTTTTTGGGACACAACCCATAGGTTATGAAACGCTGCACTAACAAGCTAGGCCATCAGGGCCCTGGAATTTAGTACTTTGTTATTTCACGATGCTGAAATTACACAATAATGACAATAATATGCTATCTTGATTAGTGCTTTGATATGAGGGGGAGGGGGGAGAGGGAGCACTCGAGGAAAAATTCTCGAGTGAAGGTTTTCCTGTAAATATTGCCAAGTGCCAACCTACCTTTTTCTTTTCCATTCTTAGAATTCTTTTTTTCCAATTTCTTTTTACTTTTCCCCTCCCCATCCGATTTTGAGCCTGATTTGCTTTTCTTCCAAGATGACAAAGACCTGAACAAAGGAAAAGAGTTGAATTGAGATCGCAGATTAAACAATGTTTCAAATATTGAAAACAGTGAAATTGAAAAAAGTGAAAAATTCAAAACAAATCATGACTTTTCTCCAAGCGAGATGAAATTTCATGAAAAAATATAGATAGTAAAAAATAATAGAATATTTTTTATATTTTTTTCCAAAAACATCTATGCGTCATGACCTCATCAAAGAATGCCAAAAACAGGACAAATAAAAGCTAATGAAACCTCTGATTAATATTACTAATAGAAGAAGACTTGAAATATATTACAACGATAAAAGGTCGTATGTTAGAACGCTAGTGTCAAATAGTTTGGTGGTTGGAAGAAATAGTACAATAAATATTCTCAAAGCTCCAGAACAGGGATTCACAAAGTTGATTGATTGATCGGCCAAATTCAGAAGCGGAAAAATATTCGCAGGACAGGAGAGCGCCAATGCGGTATGTATAACTAAGAAGATACCGGTAAAATTGAATTGTTACAAACAAACACGAGCTTAAACCGTGATAATGACGTAACAATTGACAGTATCTAGAAAGCTAAAATATAACAATATAAAGTGTTAAATTATTCCTCTGAATTCTGCATGCCGTATTACATCTTTACGCAGGATGAAATTGGCAAACAGTTTGAGAACCAGTGCTTTATAATATTTTTGAATTCTTTTTTGGCCTTTCATTATTATTCTATGTTAACAATTGTGGTTACAATTTTACATTCTCACTAGACAGACGCCAGACTGCAAATCCCTCAGGGTTTTATGCAACACCGGCTGTCTAAATGGGAGAAAATTAAATTGAACCAAATAATTCACATCACAATTTATTTAACAAAAATATAAGTTTCATAAAAAAAATGATATTTATTTCTGATTCTCCACCTCTTATGGAGTATGCAATTCTCGGGGGCAAAAAGAATCATTTAAAATATTCTAGAATATCGAAGTAATCTGATATATTTACATGATACATTACACCCATAGCTGAAATTACTGATTATTGAATACATTCAAGTCTACTACCTTTAGAGGCATAAATAATTTGAATCCAATAATTTGATACTGTAATACTATTCAAGGGTCTTGCTGCACGCTGATACAAATAACATACCGTTCGACCAATGTAAAACTTCTTCAGACACCGCAAGGATATCTAAACTAATATTAACGTCACAGATTAAAAACCTATTCCTGGGTGTGATAAAATAGGTCCCCCAATTTTCATTTTAATTATTAAAGTAAAATTGTCCAACACCGCGGGGGGATTTTGTTTTTTTGTTGTAGTTGTACCTGGCATGGAAAAAATTTTGGGGCAGCGGAATTTTTGTGCAACGAAAATCGATCACAAAATGAAAAAGGTTGGGACCATTGCGGTAGACCATCATGACCACGGATTCTGAATTACTTCGTTAGCTACTACTATTCCCCCAATTGAGCTATTTGCAATAATGTCTAGTCCAGACAAAGAAATGTCCCCAAGGAGTTAATAAGTGCATTTGGAGGTCTATTAGCAGGAGAATGTCTCAATCACACAGGCAGAAAACTATTCCCAGATGTACATTGAGAGGCGCCTGATGGAAATTAATGAAATCGCATTGTCTTGAATGACTATTCGACATTATTTAAAAGTCTTGCTGTACAATAACACAAATGTATTATTGTAGGACTAACTGCCGATTCTACTTTTTATTGCTTGTGCTGGTGAATTTGTATGCATTTAAAACATAGGGTGTCCATAAAGTCTTGAAATTCTGTAAAAATGCGAAAGGAATTTATCAATACCATATATTGTTCTGGCCCTCACAGATGTACTAAATGAAGTAAAAATACTTAAAAAAAATTACTGATTATTAACCTGGTTAAGATATATTGGGAACTGACTTCATAACAAAATTGAAATTGTAAAGGGACTTTATGGACGCCCTGTATAATGCAAGGATGCTGTAGCAAGAATGCATATCCCCCCGATTGAAAAATGTACTGTAACTGAGATTACATAGAATTTGTGAATTTTTTTTATAAAAGTCTTATTTTGCTGACTAACTGTCGCATTAGTCTTCTTTGATGTGAACCTTAATCTCATTAGCAAATATGGTGAGATTTGAACTCGTTGACAGCATGGTCATATCGCTTCCTCTTGTCCATACTCTAGCAATTTTATTTCTATTCCATTTTTTTCGACCTGATGTATTTTGATAGACAAAATAATAAATCTCTCTCTTAAAAGCGAAGATGACTCCTCCTGAATGATTCAAGATATCTTACTGAGCACTGACACAAATATATTTCTGTAATGTTACATCTGACAAATGTCACTTATTCACACAAGTATATTTAACTATTATTATGGTCATATTATGATAACAATATTATGATTAAGAACAATGCAACACTCTTACAAAATCTATATCTGTACAGTTTCAAGCAAGGCCAAAGCCTCTCAGACAAATGTATTTGAACTATCAATTTAGCTTTTTAAAACACTTAATGGAAATATTTTATTTCGAGTAATCCAGGAGCTTTGCTGCACTCTGATAAAGCGCATTTTTATATGGTTCCCCAGAAAAACATACACATAATGACAATGAAATTTTCAACGATTAAAATATGCTAGCAAAAAAAGCTTGATTTTCGCACGATTAATATTTAATGGTGCTTATAACTGGCGTAGTTTTGTGCATCAGAACTATGATATTACACATTGGATGTTCAAATGCTTCTTGACGTTTTCTATGACAAAGGGGATAATTCTGGGATTTGTAAGCAAGTTGATAATATTTATGGAGTATACGGTATATAATTTCCGTACCGGTATATGTTTTGTTCAGGCTATACGTTCCTATTTCTGCGAACAAAAACAACAAAACTACAAATACCAAAGTAAATACACAAATTCTCTCAAACAGCCCACAATGACCAGTCAGCTATTTATTATAAGCTTGGCACAGACAATTCCCCGCAGACCGAATTCACGCCATCTGTTTGAGTCAAGCATTGGCAGATATTGATGTGTGATTTAGAATTCCACTTAGTCTTAATCTTTATACAGAGGTACAGGGTTCATTCACTGACACATCCCATGGCCCATAATTTTATAAAATGCCTTTCTAGAATTTCAGTTCAGACTCAAGCTCTATTAAAGTTGCTGCCCCTCTCATTTAGTCAAAGATGGGTTTGTAGATACGTTAAATTATGTGCGAAGGGATTATATTTAAGAAATAACCTGACCAATTAAAATATTTTAGTCAAATTTTTTATCCAAATATTCAACCGTATGAGATGCCTATTGACTTGTGATGATTTAAATATCCTGCTGCCCATTATTCGTTTTCTTACTGCCATTCCAGTAGTCGCTTAAAGCTCAAAATACAGAGATGTTTCTCCGATCACTTAGTTATTGTGTGGGCAATGCTTGGAGCAATGATAGGGCAGGATTTTAAACATTTATCCCAAAGAGAAGATGATGGATTTTAATATCTTTTACGCTAATGATTTGGTTTCTGCGAGACTAACTACTTATCCTCCTTCTATGCTTTTGTGCCGCTGGATCCGTATGCATATAATGCAAGGATGATGTAGCAAGAGTAGAGATAACAATCCTGAGTGATTCAAGAGTCTTGCTGCACACTAACACAAATATATTTCTGTAACGTTTCGTCTGACCAAGGTCAGACTTCTTCAGACATAACATAGTTCAACTATACTATTATTACTGTTGCCTGCCAGTTCATTCAAACGCAGATGTGTTCATATGTTAAATCAGAGGTTCCCAAAGTTAATTTACCGAGGGCCAAAGTTAGAAGCGAAAGAATATCCACGGGCCGGAAGCACTTGCAAGGGGCCGATACCTGTATCGGTATGTATAAAGATACGGGTATAATTAAATTGTTACGAATGGTATATAATGGTATAGTATGGTACAAAAATATTACCATGCTAATGAACAACTAGTAAATCATATGCCTCTGAGGTTGATTACCTAATTACAATAACCAGTTTAAACCGGTTTATTCCGGATGGTAAATCTTGCCAACACAGTGACAGATGCCTTGAACAAATAAATGGTCACACAATAAATTAACTTATTGTGAGAAAAATAAATATCACCAATGACGCTCCCATTTCTTTGTGTGTCTAACGCAAGGCTTTATTTGCTGTATGTCGCCTTTTTTAAGAAATTGGTGAGAAATTTTTGAACTTTATGACAGTGACAGTTGGTATTAGGGGCAAATTTCTAATGAAATACAGTGTGTCCATAAAGCCCATTTACAATTTCAATTTTGTTATATAGTCAATTCTCAATATATCTTAACCAGGTTTGTTGTTTTTTTAATCAGTAATTGTCCACATATTTTCACTTTATTTAATATATCTGCGAGGAACAGTATATGGTACCGATAAATTCCTTTTGCAATTTTCAAAAATTTCAAGCTTTTATGGAAACCCTAATAAAATGACCATTCTGGACAAAGATATTAATGTGCAAAACCTGGTATTTCTGATTGCAATTAATTTTAAACTAAACGACTCTTTCCAAAAAATGTAGATCCTCACAGTCACAGATTGTTACATATTAGTGACAGCCTCCAAAGGGCTCTGTTCAGAGCAAAAGTGGTGGTTGGCGTTGTATAAAATGTTATTATTAATGATATTAATGATTTTACAATATAAAACAATAACTGAAATTTTGAAACATCCTTATAAAGAATATTTTTAATTTTACCCAACAAATACTTTATAGACCTGACATTGGCCAAATCTGTACTGTAAGTAATTCAATCTGGCCAGCATCATGCTGCTATAACCAAACTGAAACCAAAGCTTGTGTTCAGCTGAAAAATAGCACACAGAATTTGTCGAGATTGCGATTCACTGTTTTCCCCTTTTGGACCCTGGTTCAAAAATCTTGCCACCCCCCCCCCCCCCCCTGCTTTAGATCGTAAAAACTTTTGAATTCAGATTAACTGAATATGGAACACAGTTTTCCGAGTTACGAACCCAACAATGTTCAAAATTGGCTTGCTAAATTGCAACAATTCCAGATATCAAGACATTAGCATTTATGTGAACAAACAAGTTCGGTATCCAAGGGGCAAATTCCATGAATAGTTTGAAAACAACAGGGTAGACCTTGTGGGAAAATTGTGTTCATCAGCGGATTACGGCAATAAATTGGCAATTAAACTCTCAAGTACTTCCTGAATTAACTTCTGTTAAGTTAAGAGTTTGGCAAATTGGCCATGTCAGTGGTTTATGATTGCACCCTTGGTAAATTTGTTGCGAAATTATAGTTGTGAACATGTTCATGTGGCAACTTTTTTGAATGTTTATAATTGCGATGGATGGGTGGTTAAAGGGATGGGCTTACCTACGTTGGCATCACAGTGAATAAAATTTTTGCTTATTGCTTATTATGAATATTCATAGGCACATGGCTTAGTGCAGTGATAAGCTGTGGCCATCGAGCATTTTTAGTGGGCCTTCGATAAATTACAAGTATGGGCACTGGGCAGTGATACCAAAAAGGTTTATTAATACAACAATACATATAAATGATTTGAGAGTCTTACAGTACACTAATATTTTTGTAACATTTCATTTGATCAAAGTCAGTCTTCCCTAAATAAACTTATTCACTTAGTATAGTTATCTTCAATCTTACTAAAGAATCCTTCTATACAATACACATATCGGCCAGCACAGAAACATTGAAGGATAAGGAGCCTTGCAAAAACAATTCAATAGCACAAGTTCTTTCTAAGTTTGAATAACAGTATAAATCAGCAATGAAATATTAAATATATACAATTCAAATATTAGATTGCTTCAGAATCTCTCTAATATTACCAATCGTTTGACTTTTTAAGTAAAACCTATTAAATATCGATAAAGATTACTCATTTCTAATTTTCTAATACCTTTTGAATCTAAAAGAGAACTATTGAATACCTTGTACAAGGGTTATTCAGAGTGAAAGAGTGAGTTTAAGAGCATCTCTAATATAACATTAATCAAAGATTACTTGAATTTTCAATTATTTTTCGAATTAGCAAGGGAAATTTCAGATGTATTCAAATATTAGATTCCTCCAGAATCTCTCAAATATTACCAATGTAAGTGTAACATCAAGAAAAGATAACGTTTTTCTAATTCCAATTACCTTTTAAATTAGCAATGGAAATTGCAGATGTATTCATAAAAAGACTCGTTTCATTTAGCATATCTCTCATATTACCAACATAACATTGATAAAAGATTGATCATTTCTAATTTTCAATTATCTTTTAAATATGCAATGTAAAAACTATTGAACGGCTTTTCCAATTTCAATAAAGCAAATGAATCAGACAGGAGTATTGATTTTTAGAATGTCAAGTGGAAAAGACGAATTATTGATCGCCCTAGAAACCAGGTACTTGAACTTATTTTAGAAGCTGAATTCTAAAGGTGGAGTGAAAAAATGGTTAACATATTAACCTCGACTAATTTTTAACTACATCCTAACCAGATATAATAAAAAAATTCAGCTCAAATGACCTTTTTTCAATATTTCGAGGTTAAAAATTTTGTCGTTTACCCTGGTTCTTCTCATTCAAATTACCATTATTATGTTATATTCCTATTACAGATGTATTATTTACTATTATAAAAGGTCAGATACTTGAGATTGTTTTAGAAGTCACGGTTTAAGGGTAGAATAAAAAAAATGGGAGATTTACTTCAAATAAAATTTACGATAAGTCCCAGCCACTAAATCTTACCACAGTTTTTGATATAATTGAAATTGAAAGATTAAATTATTCATTTTAATATTTAGATGATCAAATTTAGACTTATATAGATTATCAACGCTATGTATAAAACTTTCAATTTGAATTTAAGATCACCAAGTTTTGATGTTTTTGAACACACTTCAATTTTGTGCGTGTTTGAGTTCTAAAGTAACCTAACAAAGTCTAATATTAGTCCCTCTTCCAGTTATCCTCTCTCCTACTAATATATTAATATTCAGAACTATCCAGTTAGGGTTTGGGTTAGGAAAGCAGATTGTGTTGAAAATTCAAATCTCAAATCATTTCTAACCCTTACCCTACCTAGATGATTACTTATTTGTTGTTTTAAAACATGGCGGAGTAATATTGTGGAGGGGGTGGGGGACAGTGTTTCTCAAACAGTGGGGCAAAGACAATTTTTTGAGGGGGTTCAATAAAAATAAAACTATTTGTTAGATTAGATCTTATTTTCAATATCTACATTTCTTCATTTTCGATATTTGCGTTCCATCCACATATTTTCAAAGTGTTTTTTGAATAAAACATACTTTCGCCTTATTATCTGTTTTTGTAGCTTATTGTTAGCTAGTTATTTTTGAGGAGAGGAAAGGGACTTGACAAATTTTAAAAAGGGGCACAGGCAAAGTTTGAGAACCACTGGTTTAGAGTAAAAATTTGGGCACAAACTGAAAACATACTCAATTGACTTGAAATTTGAAAAAAAATCCAATAAATCTTTCGATCGCCAAAATTCAGTCATTAGGAGTTGTGAGACGGAGACTGAGTAAATATTTTTCAACAATGGGTCAAGGTTTCAACAAGGGAGCCAAGGTTTGGAGTGAATTTATATTTAATGGTTAACCTTACAGTAAGAATAATTTTCAGCACAGCCCACAGACAGTTTACTCACAAGTGGGTTAACAGAGAAAAAAAAAATTCATTACTTTTCGCTTCAACCTTAAAGTAAGAGTCTACCAACCTGTTGCTTTCCGTAGTTGAATTTGAAGACTTCTCGCACGATTCTACTGAGTTTGTGGAAGGTTTTCGAGCCAGTGACGACTTTTTAAGCGGAGTTGAAGATGGCTTTGAGACATGAAACGGAGAATTATTCGTCGATGATAAACTGATATCATCGGTACTTATCCCTGTTATCAGCTCGCTTATATCTTCACTACTAACAGAGCTGATATCGTCATGTTCATTAAATTTAGGATGTTTATCGGGAAGTTCGCTCCACGCAGAACGAGCGCTTCGATTTGACGAAGTTCTTTGTAAAGATGAGAATTTTGCAGTGTTTGGACGAGGGCTGGTGTAACTACCAGATCCAAAACACTCCCCAGCGTGTAGTTTCGGACTCCGAGAACTATGTGAAATTGTGTGAATTCCAGATAGAGTGCTTGCAGACCGGTAGCCTCCATTTGTTAGCGGTGGTGGTACTTCTGGCAACCCTATATCTTCAATTTCATTGTCCAGTTGAGCAGAAATTCGACGCTCGAATTCATCAGAAAAACGGTTACGCAGTTGCGAACTTCTTAACGAGCACATTGTCTCTTCTAGATTTTGTCTCAAGTCTGCGATTCCCTTCGCTGTTTTCCTGCGTTCTTCGATTGAAACTGGCGTGTTATTTACAGATATATTATTCACATTTATTTCTGGATTTGCACTCTTTAAATCTTGAACTTGGGGTATATTCTCTGTTATTACACTTTGTGGTAAAGTTTTTGGGGTTTCATTGCTCGCTGAATTCTTCGAATCGCTACCACTAGATGATGTTGGAATTTGTCTTCGAAATGGCGCAACTGTAGCCGTTTTCAATGGATTTCGCTCCTCCGCACTGGTTGGAAGTTGTATATTACGAATCCCGCTTTCATGATTTGATTTCACGTTCGATTTTGGAGGCGAATCAGGTTCCAATTTGACCTCTAACTCAAGGTTATCTTCAAGGACATCTAAACCATCAGGAAGGTCAACGTCCATCGAAACTTTTGAAAAATCCTCAGAATCTGAGAAATCAATCTCGTTCTCACTGAAAACAATCGGTCCAGGAACATGATTGTCATCTTTTCTGGTTCGAGCGTTATCGTATGGACGCACAAGTAAGTTCTTCAGATTTTTCACATCAATTTTGTCGCGACGATAAACGCTTTCTTCACCAGAGTAGCGCTTCAGTGCAGAATCTTCCATATTTGTAATAATTATGACATCACTATCTCCACTGGAAACTTCGTTTTTATACGAAACCAGGGTTTTATTTTTCAACTCTGGTGATAACTTACCCGGATTCCGCAATTTTACGGTTGAACGAATATTTTTCTCATCTTTTTGACCAAAAGCCTTTTGAAATGTTGATTTTATACCAGACCCTTGTTTGGAGCCATTAGAAGTGGCAGCTGACAAATTTTTGGAATTCGAACTTGAAGCGTTTTTACTTTTGTATGTTGAAACAGAAAGTTTTGAAGGAGGAACTAAACCTTTTTTCTGTCCTCTTTCTAGCGTACTTCCAGCAGATGATGGCGGTCGTGAAAATGACTTTGAATTTTCTGTTGGAGATTTGACAGCAACCGCCTGCTTTAAAGTAACACCATTTGTGCTGTCATTAGGGATAGTAGTCCCACTTGGTCCTCCCATCTTTCTCAGCCGCCCTAGAACTGAAGAAGATGAACTTTTTGAAGTTGCATGTGTTGTAGTTTTAGTAGCCGAACTAGTTTTTGGCTTAAAATTTGCTTTTCTATCAGGACTTGCAGTTGTAGCTGTGGAACTTCTTGATGAATTGGAAGCTGATCTTGAAACGGTGGCTCTAGGAGGCATCAAACCACTTTTTCCTTTTGTAGGAGTCTTATGTACTGGTGTTTTAAGCCTTGATTCACGAGTCTTAGAATCAGCTGGTGGTGGCCGTGATGACCTGCCTAAGTCCGAAGAAGCTTTAGTATTCACCTTTGAAGATGCATTAGAAGAATTACTAGCTACTGAAGATGCTTTTCCAGATTTGCTACTGCCTGTTGATCGCATTTTCACAAGCTTCTGTTTTCCTGTAGGTTCAGACACTTTATTCCCATTTTCAACTTTTATCAGATGAGTGGGAGAATTTCTGATACTTTTTGAACCAGACTTTACAGCACCAACTTCCCCTTTCTTTGCTAATTTCGAAGGCTGTGCAGGAGCAGACTGGTAAGTAAAACTGTGTTTTGCATTCATAGACTTGCTCCTCCATTCCGTTTGCCCAGACATCAAAGCAGCATTCGTAGGCCCAGAAAGTGTGGGGTGACCATTGACAGCGTTACTCTGTTCATCGTTTCTTATTTCTTTGTTAATTTTATTCCGATCAGCGGCATTGAAACTTTGACTCTTTCTTGATACTGAAACAGTGCTTGGAGGCCGCAAAAATCTTCGGCCACTTTGAGGTTCTACCATTTTATCCAGTATTACATTCTATATCGTAGCTAATAATAACTGAAATATTGAAAAAATTAGATATTATTTTAAATAAGAAAATAAAAAAATAAAACCTCATTCTCGCAGCGCAAAAATCGGTACTAAATTCGTTACAGATTTCACATATATACAATTACCCTGGGTAGTCTGCACCGAACTTCATACAAAATTTTCATTCTTGAGTCGCCTTATCATAACCAAAAAACAACAATAACAACAAAACTGGCTAAGTAGTAAATTTTTTGGATATATTAGGGTTATTCCAGTACATATGAAATTAATGTCTACCAAATACCCGAATCACTTATAATACTTTCATAAATCATTTAATTTATGCATAAATATAGTCGGCACACATCCCAGTGGGACGTACGTCGCAAACGGCGTAACATTCACGAAAGTTCTTTGACGTAAATAAATTAATTGAACAAGCGGGAGGTTGATCGGTAAGAATTGTGTTTATCCTTTGAAGTGAAATAACCCGCAACCCGGCCGCCATAAACGACGGACGCCGTGATAACTTTACTCGTCGAAGACTATAATCCAAGTTAGATACGGTGATTAGTCATGGATTGTGAGTCATAATAAAAAATCACACCGGTTATTATTACCACACAAACTTTCGGTCATCTGCAATCACAAGATTGATGACTAGTGTTGTCTGCTAGTCAAACATTGAATAATTCAAGCGCTTGTCAAAACAACGCTGGTTTGATTTGGCGAAAAGAAACAAAAAATAATATCCAAGCCTTGGTCATCGAAACAGATATCTAAAATTTTTATAACATGAACATTGGCCGCCAATTTATTCCCGCTCCTACCGCTAAGAATGCTAGTATTCGAACAATAGTGAATTTACCTTTCGCTACGATGGTGACTATTTGACAGAAGAGACGGTAATTTAGATATTAGACCATCCGTATTTTGAATTTTAACAGTTAAATTCACCGAAATTTCTTGAACATGCCTCAACTCACAACAATATTATAAACAGCACTGGAATAATCAAGCTATGATTTTAAAACAGTTCTCTGAGGTTAGATAAAGTATTAGCTCATTATTCTCTGTGTCAAAGTATGACAACACTACAAAAAGAAATCCCAAGCTTATCGCGAAAAAACTTCGACACCATCAGAAGGGAGTGCCAGTACTATTTTATTTCTATTCAAAAGGCGCGGTAACAATGCTTTAAGGTCGATTCTATATTATCAAATCGTCAACAAATTACTAAGTCACTATCCGCTCATCTACAAATGCAGTATTTAATCGGAAGGTTGCTTACACGTTTCCGAATTTCGGATTTTATATTTATAAATAGGTTTATGAAGGATAGGCCGCAACTACATAACCTTATGTGAAATAAATTCACTCAAAGCTTAGCTCGAATGCGGGAAAAGCACGTCTTCAGACAGCCAACTTCATAATATATCAGCACAAATACTACATAGGTAATCAAATACCAACAAAAAGAGTCTCAAATCTCTTTTCCATGAGTTCACGTCGTCAAAACAGAGAAATTATGGACGAAATCGGATGTGGAAAGCCAATTATGGTTGAAAACACGACAAAACGTTCAGGTCAGTTTCATATTTCATAGAAACAAATTTGATAATGACAAAATTACGACAACATCTACAATATCAACGTGACTCCGATATCCCGTGAATTAACGTCAAATATTACTAAGATACGTAATTTCGTATTTAACAACGGTATCGCATAAACATAAACACCGGCTTTACATGGACTTAATTGCGGCGTTTTAATTTACAAATTGTCGGTCATCGTAGACGCCTTGGCGGTCAGTAAACATTCGATGGCGACATTGAAAATTGTAGATCAAAATCACTGCTAAAGCTCTGTATAACTGTTGGTTTAAAAAGTTAACTTTCATATTTAACACGCTTGAATCCATTTTAAAACTACGAGTGGACAAATAAAGTTTATTTTAGCTCATGAAATTAATGAAAATATACCTTTCCAATAATGTCTGATTCTAGCGACCTCGCGTAGCTACGTGTCTGTTCAGTGGCGTAGCAAGACTCTCGTGCCCCCCCCCCCCCCCCCCCCCCCCCCGCAAAAATATTTCGTGGAAATGCCCTTAAAACTCCCGGACATAAGCTAAAACAACGCTTCTTTTTATTTCGTCAAAAAGCATAACATGTCGCTATTAGAAAGCAATGGTAACCAAAAATTTTCCGTTTATCTTGGTTACTTTAATTTTTTTCATACGTGCTTTCTCTTCTGCCCATTTTCTGCGTTTCTGTGCGCCACTGAGAGGCTTTGCTTTCGACATCATTCTGACAGCCTTCGTAATTTTGCCGGTGCGATCAAACCACAAGACGCCGAAAATCGACGACTCCCTGACATTGCTACGTAACAAAACGATTTGAGCAGAACTAACACCAACGTTATAAGATGTGCATTACTTGTTTTGCAATGCAACGTTTGGTTTTGCGGTTTAAATTTCTAAATTCTAACCGCTTGGGCCCCTTTGCGCTGTGGGCCCTCCCGCGACCGCGGGGGTTGCGGGGGTGGATGCTACGCCACTGTATCTGTTCGACTCTACGTACACTTTTTACTCGCTATTTTTTTTTTCAAGGTTATCCTCTCACATACTGTGCTAGACTGAATGGAAACCCGCAAAAACGTATCCCACTTATCACCCGCTGATAAAACAACCACGTTCTAGCTGAGTCGACATCGGAATTTACACATTTGAATTCGAGTAGCGAACAAATCGAACGATTTATTTCCACAAGTGCGTGAATGTTTTCAAAAGATCAACGAGGTGCTGAGGTAGCTCCCCCGTTGCGTAGTATGATTTGCTAAGTGGACTATTCCGAAGGACCTTTCTTTCGATTACGTCATTACATATCGATTGGCTATTTGCCCGGAACTTGAGTTTAATAAAAATTTATGATTACGAATCGATTGAAAATTTTGGCCATTATTTTTTTTATTTTTATTAATAACTAATTTTATTGGAAAAGATTCAAATGTTTTGTTGTGCAATAACGCCAAGTACACTAGGAATTAGTGGTTGTACCCATAGAAAGCCGATATATAATTTTGTCCGGTTATGCTTTTGAAAGCAATCGAGTTTTATTGAAATTGTACCATGGCTACGCTACGCCTTATTAAAATAAAGAAAACAATAAGTATTTCAATTCACTGAACATTTTTGGCGCTTTTGAAAGTAATGTGTGTATCTAGATGAGTTTTACAGTTTTACTAATATTGTACCATGGCTACGCGTTATTGAAATAAAGAAAACAATAAGTATTTCAATTCACTGAACATTTTTGGCGCTGTTTAAAGTAGTGTACCTGTCTAGATGAGTTTTACAAGCGATGTTCTATGGCCCTGCTGTGAAATGAGGGAAATAGGGATCCTTTCGCCCCACTTCTATATGCTTCACAAATCCTTTCCCTTTACGTTTCCTAGTCCAATCTTCAAACAATCTCATTTCTAATAATTTTCGAAAATCGCCAGGTGTTCGTTCACACCTATCATTATTACGAACAAAAGGAAATCAAAGCCTGTGGCCGCCTAACAAGAGTACAAGTGGTTTATCCGGATATAATTAGCGAAACACGAAGGATTTACTCGATGATTTCAGAAATTGGCAAATCTAAAACTGAAATTCACAAGCTTGATTAGTCCAACAGGTATACATATTCATAGAGCGAATAACCGATGATAGCAAAACTTTGTAATTCGTCGTGAACTTCATCATGGCATGATATGGAAAAAAACGCTAGCGTATGTATTAGGCAAATAATCAAGGCGTAATATCTTATCGAAAATCACAATATAATACATCTTATGTCGAAATTTAAAAAATCTTGGCGACTATTTGAACAGCGACTTATTCCTAGCAGAGAACACGGCCGTTTCTTTATCATACAAGTTAAATTTTCGTTTTTGTTTTTCCGCGGCGCAATTAGGCAAAACGTAATTCTAATGCAAAAAGCTTTCCAACGCGCACATATCAAGAATAAAACGCAACGCTAACAGTGAACACTTTGCAGTCATAAAAACAAGACAAAGCTTAAGCAGTCTCTATAAAGCCCCATTAAAACGCTGATGTATTTTCTGTCATTTTCACTGTACGCCAATTACTGACCTATATACTGCACACAATTATGTTAATACCAAAATCGCCAATATCACCGAAGAAAACCTCTACATTAATAAAAATAAAATAAGCTGCACAAATAACTGGTCATGTAAAAATTACAATACTGTTAAACTGTTACTGTTAAAAATTAAGTTCATTTGTCAGTTTGCTTAGTATTGAATTACTGTGAAACTCTAGTTAGTTTGCTTATTTTTTGCATCGCATCTTTCCCAATGTCGTGCGCCGTCTTTACGGTCCCTAATTAAGCGTAATCAGGCGTCGCGTCTAGACTTAAAAAGAAACGTTGCGATATAGTATACGCCAAATTGAATGATACCCATATAATTATTTTGAGCCTTTGTGCGCTAATAAAAATCGTAAGTGGCTGTTTGAGCAACTCCAATGCCTGTTATTATATTCCGAACACAGAATTGAGGTTTTGCTTTGTGAAAACGCCAGATATTTCATAACATATTTCCTAAGTTCAACAAGTTTTTCCGAGAGCTTCTATGCACATTTTCCACAGACTATGTTGGAGTCCCCAGTTGCAAGAAGAAATATGAAAATAGCTCTGCTACTGAGTGGTAACTTGACACCATTTTATCAGTACTCTTTCCACATTTAGTTTGGGGTCTGGGAACTTGCTTTGAACAAAACTGCAACTCATCTATCAGTACTCTTTCCACTTTTAGTTGAGTGCACTGGTCATTTTTTTCAACAAATTTGTACGAAAATCTATACTGTATATAGCTCTTAGAACGTCCGTGGCTCCTTACCACTAATCTATATATGTATTCCACTAGTCTAGTAGTTAGAGCGATATTTCTCGAGCACAAACAAACAATTAATTAATTAATTAATTAAATTTCTCATTTTTTTTTATTGAAGC